CATAGATGTAGGTGAAACGTTAGAAGAGAATGCTTCTGGAACATGGCCATACAGCCCGGAAAACTCACAGCAACCCAGTGATTCCAGCCACAAAAGCCTTCAACAATACATCTGACTTACAAATGACTCATAGTTAAGAACAGGGTTGAGACAGCAGGAAGTGAGAGAAATCTACCCCCAGAAAGGGAAATTCACTCCTGCAAGAATTATCATGGGGAAAAGTATCTCCACTGAAGCTTTATCACCTATTTATCAGAAGAGAACTGTTTTGGTAACAATGCATGCTCATTTTGGTAACAATGCATGCTGAACAAATCTGTGTCATCATAAAAATGTGGAATGGCCTTGAAGCCCTGTGGGAACTGCAGATATCATGGATTGCATGGAAACCTCTTCCACTTATATGTCTTACCAACTAATAAGCCAAATCCAAGCTCATAGATGTGAAATAAACTAAGATGCCGCCTTTGTCCATGAATGTGGATAGAAGAACAGATCTTTTCTTCTTTTGTTTAGCAAAACAGGAGCACCAATTCCATTTGAATTTTGAAAAGATAGTTTTGCGAGGGTTCAAATCCCCACTCAGCAGTGATAAGATCTCTTGGGTGACTTATGGCACATTAGACAATTTTAGGGCAAGTACGGGTGGGGAGCCCCTAGCTTACAGAGCTATTTTTGAGGCCTGCCAATTAACAAGACTGCTAGAATTAGAAGCCCATTGCTTATAACACAAGCTGGGCAATTCTTTTTTCCTGCCTAGAATTGTCTTTATTTTTAACACTTCTTTTGCTCAACAACAATACAGAAACCCAATGTTGGCTTGAAGCTTCTGTATCTCAGAGACAATAGTGGGGTAGTACAATTACTTCTAATAATAATTCTGAGAACTCCCAAAATTATAATTTGTGAAATTGGAATGACTAGAATACAAGCTGGGAAGTCTTTCTTTTGGGCCAGAATTGTCTTTATTTTTAATCGCCTCTGTTTGAAAAACAAACAGCTGAAAGCCAAAGCCTGCCCAGGTGCAAAGCTCTGGTCACTTCTCTCCTCTGGAAGTGTAAAAAAAGAAAGTGTGAGCAAAAGAAGTATTTTTTTTTTTAAAAAAAGGCATTCATGTCTAGAAAAAAAAATCCCTAGCTTGTATTCTAAGCATTTCAATTTACCATATTGGTACCGTGCAGCTGTGGACAAGTCTACATAGGGACCACCAAACTCAGCGCCCAGACATGACTCAAAGAACATGAAAGGCATTGCAGACAAATTCAACCAGAGAAGTCAGCTTCAGCAGATGACCAGCCTGGACACAGAATATTATTTCAGAACAAAGAAATTCTGGACCACTCTGACAACCACTATTTCAGACTACACAGAGAAGCCATTGAAATCCACAAGCACACGGACAATTTCAACATAAAGGAAGAAACTATGAAAATGAATACTGGTTACGAGTATTAAAACACAGCAGAATCAAGACAGTAAATAATGAACACCATTCAGAAACAGGAGAACTCCAGACAGCAAGCAATCAAGGGTCAGTAAACACCTCCCCAACAGAGGATGCCTCCAGGCAAGAATCCAGGCTACCTCTATACAGATACCCTCACTGACTTACTTTGCACATTTATGGCTACTCAATGCTATTCAAGCTTGCCAAGTGCAACATTCACACTTTCTCTAATCCAGAGTTTCCCAGACTCTGCTCCTCCAGGTGTTTTGGACTTCAGCTCCCACAATTCCTAACATCTGGTAAACTGGCTGGGATTTATGGTAGCTGAAGTTCAAAACACCTGGAGAAGCACAGTTTGAGAAACAGGGAAGTCTTGCTACCCCTCTATTCTGCCTTAGTCAGACCACACCTGGAATATTGTGTCTAATTCTGGGCACCACAATTGAAGGTCAATGTTGACAAGCTGGAATGTGTCCAGAGGAGGGCAACTCAAATGATCAAGGGTTGGGAGAACAAGCCCTATGTGGAGTGGCTTAAAGAGCTGGGCATGTTTAGCTTGAAAAAGAGAAGGCTGAGAGGAGACATGATGGCCGTTTATAAATATGTGAGAGGAAGTTATAGGGGGGAGGGAGCAAGTTTGTTTACTGCTGCTCTGGAGACCAGGACACGGAACAACGGCTTCAAAGTACAAGAAAGGAGATTCCATCTGAACATTTGGAAGAATTTCCTGACTGTGAGAACTGTTCAGCAGTGGAACTCTCTGCCCCAGAGTATGGTGGAGGCTTCTTCTTTGGGGGCTTTTAAAGAGAGGCTGGATGGCTATCTGTTGGGGGTGCTTTGAATGAGATTTTCCTGCTTCTTGGCAGGGGGTTGGACTGGATGGCCCACGACGTATGTTCCAGCTCTATGATTCTATAATGCCTCCACCTTTGTAACTACTCAACAGATGGCAGTACTGGTATGCAACAGGTTTTGGCTTGTTCAGTAGACTCTCCTCTACAGTTCCATTTTGGCAGGAAGCCTTAGCATTGAATGGTTGTGTTGTTAAAGTGCAAAGTATGAAACCCTGTGCAGACGGTCAGTCAATGTGACTTAAGCAATGCGCAGTCATTGAATTCTTGACAGCAGAAGGTGTCACCCCAAAGGAGATTCATCAGAGAATGCAAGCTGTTTATAGTGATTGTGTTGATGTGAGTACTGTGCGTCGTTGGGTGAGAAAGTTTAAAGATGTAGAGGTGGAAACATCTGATTTGCATGACAAACAAAGAGTTGGACATCATGTGACAGCAATCACCGAGTTTCACAAGCAAAAGGTTGCCAAATTGATTTGGATGATTGTCATATCACTCAGAGAGAAATTTCAAGCATAATCGGTATTTTGCAAGAACGTGGGGCTCACATTATTGCTTTGCTTGGCTATTGGAAGATCTGTGCATGATGGGTACCCAGGATGAGAGAACTGTGAGACACTGGTTGAGGAAACAGACTGTCGACTGTGTTTTTGTAGGTTTTTCGGGCTATATGGCCATGTTCTAGAGGCATTTTTTCAGGCTATATAGCCATGTTCTAGAGAAGAAGACTATCGACTTCTTCCGTGATGGTTTCAGAAAACTAGTTCATCGTTAGCATAAATGTATCCAATTGTCTTGTGATTATGTGGAAAAGTGAATGTTGTTGTTGTTCATTCGTTCAGTCGTCTCCGACTCTTCGTGACCTCATGGACCAGCCCACGCCAGAGCTCCCTGTCGGCCGTTACCACCCCCAGCTCCCTCAAGGTCAGTCCAGTCACTTCAAGGATGCCATCCATCCATCTTGCCCTTGGTCGGCCCCTCTTCCTTTTGCCTTCCACTTTCCCCAGCATAATTGTCTTCTCTAGGCTTTCCTGTCTCCTCATGATGTGACTAAAGTACTTCAACTTTGTCTCTAGTATCTTTCCCTCCAGTGTGAATAGTGGTAGTTAAAGAGCACATTCTAAGAATTAGTTCTGTGTTTGGGTTGTTGTAGGTTTTTTCGGGCTATATGGCCATGTTCTAAAGGGTAAAGGCATTTTCTCCTGACGTTTCACCTGCATCTATGGCAAGCATCCTCAGAGGTAGTGAGGATGCTTGCCATAGATCAGCATTTCTCAGTCTGGGGGGGGGGCCTTGGGGGGTCGTGAGGGGGGTTCAGAGGGGTCACCAAAGACCATCAGAAAATACAGTACTTTCTGTTAGTCATGGGAGTTTTGTGTGGGAAGTTTGGCCCAGTTCTATTGTTGGTGGGGTTCAGAATGCTCTTTGATTGTAGGTGAACTATAAATTCCAGCAACTACAACTCCCAAATGTCAAGTCTATTTTCCCCAAACTCCAGCAGTGTTCACATTTGGGCATATTGAGTATTTGTGCCAGGTTTGATCCAGATCATCATTGTTTGAGTCCACAATGCTTTCTGGAAGTAGGTTAATTACAACTCCAAAACTCAAGGTCAACGCACACCAAACCCTTCCAGTATTTTCTGTTGGTCATGGGAGTTCTGTGTACCAAGTTTGGTCCAATTCCATCGTTGGTGGAGTTCAGGTTAACTATAAATCCCAGAAACTATAACTCAATCTCATCCCCACCGCGACAGTATTCAAATTTGGGGTATTTGTGCCAAATTTGGTCCAGCGAATGAAAATATATCCTTCTTATCAGATATTTACATTATGATTCATAACAGCAGCAAAATTACAGTTATGAAGTAGCAACAAAAATAATTTTATGGTTGGGTGTCACCACAACATGAGGAACTGTATTAAGGGGTCACGGCATTAGGAAGGTTGAGAACCACTGCCATAGATGCAGGCGAAACGTCAGGAGAAAAATGCCTTTAGATCATGGCCATATAGCCCGAAAAAACTTACAACAACCCAGTGATTCCGGCCATGAAAGCCTTCGACAAGTTCTGTGTTTGATTTATTAAAATATTCCCATCCAAGCCCAAGTAACGAAGGTAGAGGCATTACTTTTAATTCAACCCTATATAAATGTTTTAAATAAATAAATTTCTCTTAATCCCTCCTTACTATCCAACATTTTTGCTTATCCAACGTTCTGGTTATGTTGGATAAGTGAGACTCTGCTGTATTATGATTCTGAGAAGTCCCTCAAATTATCAGTTGCAACATTGCAAGGTCTAGAATGCAAGAGGGGGGAATCCTTCTTTCTGGAGACTCCTGTCTTTTAAGAATTCTAGTGGTGAGCAGAGCTTCTCACCTGGGCAGGCTTTGGCTTTGTTTGTTTTGCAAGCAGAGGCAGAGGAACTGAGAGAGAAAGTCAACAGCGCATGGAGGCGGGGAGGGAAGCAGGCGGGAGCCTTTTAAGCAAACGGAGGCTGCCTTCGGAAGTTCACCTTGCTATTTTCTGGACCTCCTTCCCGCTCCTGAGGAAGGCTTGGCGCGCCATTCTGGCCATTGCGGCCTTTCTCTCCTGAGGGAGAAGTCCAAGGTGGGGCGCACCTGTGGGAGGGCCGCCTCCTTCTCTCTCCGCGTGGCGTGGAAGGGGAAGGAGGCCCTTTTTTCCTCCTCCCCGGCCCCTCCTCCCCGCGCAATTCCAACTCCGTGGGCCCCTCCCCTCCCTGCTTCCCTCAGGCCGAGGCGCAGAGGAAGGGAAGGTGGACGGCAGGAGAGGTGGGCCCTTCCCTTGCCACTGCAGCAGGAGGAGGGAAAGGGAAGGAAAGGTGGCGGGGTGCTTCTGGGAGGAGGAAGAGGGGGCTGCAAGGCAAGGAGGAGGAGAAGGAGGAGAAGGGATGCCGCCTTCCCTCCGGGGCGCTCCTCCGTCAAGATGCAGCCCGCGCTCCTCGGCCAGAGCCACGCCGGAGCCCGAGACCACGAACAACAGCAGCAGCAGCAGCAGCAAGTGCAGCTGCGGCAAAAGCTGAGGGAATTGCCGGCGCTGCTCCGGAGCGGGCTCACGCTGCGGAGGAAAAACTCCACCGGCGGAGGACGGGTGAGTGAGTGAGTGGGAGGGAGAGATGGAGGGAGCGAGGGAGGGAAGGGGCGCCTCTTGGGGCCTGCCTCTTGGGCCCCTGCCTCTTAGACCCGGCTCCGAAGGCGTATTGCGCAGCCAAGACCTCCCGCCTTCCCAGCCAGGCCCAAAAAGGGGTTTTGCAGCCGGAGGGAGGGAGGGAAGGAAGAGAGGGTTGGGTCTTCTGCTCAGCACCAGCAGGCAGGATGCGGGAATAGGAACCGGAGGGATGGAAGCATCTCAGGCTCGATCTCACTGCCACACCATACAGGTGAACGCCATTGACCTGGGCTCTATGACTACACCAGGTGTGAGCAAACTTGGACCCTCCAGGTGCTTTGAACTTCAACTCCCACCATTCCTAACAGCCTCAGGCTGGATCTCCACTGCCACACCATGCAGGTGAACGGCAATAACTGAGTAATTGGAACTGGGTTCCAATAGAACTGGGTTCTATTACTCTCCACCAGGTGTGAACAAACTTGGGCCCTCCAGGTGCTTTGGACTTCAACTCCCACCATTCCTTACAGCCTCAGGCTGGATCTCCACTGCCACACCATGCAGGTGAATGGCATTAAACAGGGTTCTATGACGACACCAGGTATGAGCAAACTTGGGCCTTCCAGAAACCCATAGAACTGGGTTCTATGACTCTACACCAGGTGTGAGCAAACTTGGGCCCTCCAGGTGCTTTGGATTTCAACTCCCATCATTCCTAACAGCCTCAGGCTGGATCCCCACTGCTACACCATATAGATGAACAGCATTGAGCTGGGGTCTATGACTATACCAGGTATGAGTACACTTTGGCCCTCTGGGTGTTTTGGATTTCAACTCCCACCATTCCTTACAGCCTCAGTCTGGATCTCCACTGCCACACCATGCAGGTGAACAACATTGATCTGGGTTCTATTACTACACCAGAAGTGAGCAAACTTGGGCCCTCCAGGTGTTTTGGACTTCAACTCCCACCATTCCTAACAGCCACGGGCTGGATCTCCACTGCCACACCATGCAGGTGGATGGCATTGAGCTTGGTTCTGTGACTACACCAGGCATGGGCAAACTTGGGCCCTCTGGGTGTTTTGGACTTCAAATCCTATCATTCCCTAGACTGGATCTCCACTGCCACACCATGCAGGTGGATGGTATTGAACTGGGTTCTATGACTACACCAGGTGTAAGCAAACACGGCCCCTTTGGGTGTTTTGGGCTAACTCCCATCATTCCTAACAGCCTCAGGCCCCTTCCTTTTCCCCCTCAGCTGCTTAAGCCTGAGGGTGTTAGGAAAGGTGACAGTTGAAGTCTAAAACACCTGGAGGGCCAAAGTTGGCCAATGCCTGCTCTACACTCTGCATTCTGTCAGTCTGCATTCTTAAACTGCATTACAAGCCATCCCCAAGTTACCAACAAGATAGAATCTGTAGGTTTGTTCTTAAGTTGGATTTGTATATACGTTGGAAAGGGTACGTTTCTAGGGTCTAGATTCAGGGAAGTCATGCTATACATCTATTCTGCCTTAGTCAGACCACACCTGGAATACTGTGTCCAATTGTGGGCACCGCATTTGAAGGGAGATGTTGACAAGCTGGAATGTGTCCAGAGGAGGGCGACTGAAATGATCAAGGGTCTGGAGAACAAGCCCTGTGAGGAGTGGCTTAAAAAGCTGGGCATGTTTAGCCTTCAGAAGAGAAGGCTGAGAGGAGACATGATGGCCATGTATAAAGATGTGAGGGGAAGTCATAGGGAGGAGGGAGCAAGCTTGTTTTTTGCTGCCCTGGAGACTAGGACAAGGAACAATGGCTTCAAACTACAGGAAAGGAGATTCCACCTGAACATTAGGAAGAACTTCCTTACTGTGAGAGCTGTTCAGCAGTGGAACTCTCTGCCCTCTGTGCTGGAGGCTCTTTCTTTGGAGGCTTTTAAGCAGAGACTGGATGGCCATCTGTCGGGGATGCTTTACATGAGGTTTTCCTGCTTCTTGGCAGGGGGTTGGACTGGATGGCCCATGAAGTCTCTTCCAACTCAATGATTCTATGACTCGATGATTCTAAGTTTAACTCCAGCCAGATATGCACTTTGGACAGCATAGGGTTAATACCCCTGTGATGTTTGTTTTGCTGCCTGTGTCCCTGTTCAAAAGATTTCACCTCACTTTCTGTCCCTCTGTGAATTGGATTCTGAAATATGTGGCTTGTTATGGAAACAAAGTTTGGTGTTCAGGCTTCATTTAAGACACCTTTTCCCCATGATAACTCTTTCAGGAGTGGATTTCTCTTCTTAGGTCTGTAAATGGGCACAATTTAAAGTGCTGTGTATGACCTTTAAAGCCCTAGGCCAGTGTTTCTCAACCTGGGGGTCAAGCCCCCATGGAGGTTGCAAGGGAAGTGTCAGAGGGGTCACCAAAGACCATCAGAAAACACAGTATTTTTTTTTGGTCATGGGGGTTCTGTGTGGGAAGTTTGGCCCAATTCTGTCATTGGTGGGGTTCAGAATGCTCTTTTGAGTGTAGGTGAACTATAAATCCCAGCAACTACAACTCCCAAATGTCAAGGTCTATTTTCCCCAAACTCCATCAGTGTTCACGTTTGGGCATATTGAAGGTTTGTGCCAAGTTTAGTCCAGATCCATCATTATTTGAGTCCACAGTGCTCTCTGAATGTAGGTGAACTACAACTCCAGATATCAAGGTCAATGCCCCACCAAACCCTTCTAGTATTTTCTGTTGGTCATAGGAGTTCTGTGTGTCAAGATTGGTTCAAATCCGTTATTGGTGGATTTTGGAATTCTCTTTGATTGTAGGTTAACTATAAATCTCGGCAACTACAAAACCAATCCCTTCCCTCAACCCCACCAGTATTCAAATTTGGGCATATTGCGTATTTGTGCCAAATTTTGTCCAGCGAATGAAAATGTATCCTGCATATCAGATATTTAAATTACTATTCATAATAATAGCAAAATTACAATTGTGAAGTGGCAACAAAAATAATTTTATGGTTGGGAGTCACTACAACATGAACTATATTAAGGAGTCTCGCCATTAGGAAGGTGGAGAACTACTTCCCTAGATGGTTCAAGTCCAGGCTATTTGGCTGACCACACCCCCTTGTATGAGTATGAACCTACCTGGGCCCTGAGATCTTCAGGAGACATCCTTCTCGGTCCCACTTCCATCTCAAGCTCCGTTGATGGGAACCTTCTTGGTGGCTGCCCTCAACTCTGGAACTCCCTGCCCAGGATGTTTGTAACTTGGGGACTGCCTTTATATGGTAGTGGGGATCCAGTTGCAGTCATCAGCCCCACATACAGATTAATGGCCTCATCCAAACCCCACAGGAAAGTCAGGGTGCCAGGGCAAGGAAGTTGCTGTCCCTGAGATCCTTGAAGGAAGATTTGTGTATTCCCCTGTGCAAAGAGAGAGCAGTGGTTCTCTGGCCTTGCTGCATGGATTTCCTGGGTGAGTGACTGTAAAAGGAAGGAAGCGACTGATTTCCCTTAGCACAGAGGTGTCATTTTCATCAAGGGTTACATCAGCCTTATAGTTGCCTTTAAGGAGCTGTTGAATCCATGAACGGAGAATCCTCAAATGCAGGGAGCCAACTATAACTTTTTTTACATGGTGATTTGTTGCTCTTTAGTTTTTTTGTCCCCAGATGTTATTGAATGACAACTCTCATCACTTTTGATTATCCACTATGTGGATTGGGACTGCAATTGAACAGCACTTGTGGTTCTGAGGTTGGTGAAAGGACATCTTGAAGTCAAACATAACCCACAAACCCCACTATCCTGATTAAACAGAACAAACAGTAGCCTTCCAGATGTTATTCTATCACAACTCCTATTAGCTCTAGTCAGGGAGCTGCAGTGGCACAATTGGTTAAACCCTTGTGCCGGCTGAACTGCTGACCTGAAGATTGGCAGTTTGAATCTGTGAGATGGGGTGAGCTCCCATTTGTCAGCTCCAGCTTTCCATGCAGGGACATGAGAGAAGCCTCCCACAGCATGGTAAAACATCCAGGCACCCCCTGGGCACTGTCCTTGCAGACGGTCAATTCTCTCACACTCGCAACGACTTGCGGTTTTTTGAGTCATTTCTGACACACACAAAAAAGTTGTCTAATGATATAGGATGTATAATCCAGCACCTGGAGGGCCATATAAAATGACATGGTGGGCCCAATTTGGCCCATGGGCTTTGAATTTGGCACATGTGCCTTTGAAATTTATTTATTGGAGAATGATGGGGCTTGCTGACCAGTTTTAGCCTTGTTTGCTGAGGAATAATACACAGAAATCAGTGAGGCTTTTAATTACAGGTGCTGTAAGGCTTATTTTAGAGGAAGGAACAGGCAAAACCATCTCTGAGGATACCTTTCCTAGGAAAATCATATGAAATCCATGGGGTTGTCATAGATGGACAGTGAAAAAGATTAAAACTGTTTGGTTTTGAGGCCTGCTGAAAGAGCGGCCTGGAGGTACTTTTCTAAATGTTGGAGACTTAGTGGTTGATCTCAATGCAAGCTTTTGGTAGACAATGTTGGCACATCCGTCTGATGCAACTTTTTTTGCTCTGTGCTTCAAAATACTAGTTTGTTTACTGTAGCAGTGAATAACATTCAACCTGTAGGCCACATACAGGCTGAAACTCCTTTTTTTCGCTTCCAACCCTGCCATGACAGCCAAAGCCGGCAACCACCATTTTAAAAAAATCTGGCAAAAAACTTCTTAAAAATTATTTAAACCAAAAATACACCGAAATGGTGCAATTTGATTTGTGTCTGCAGCCCACTAAAATGGATAAAATGTTTCAAAACTGAAAGTAAGCTAAATCAAAACTGTTGTGGCTTCATGGTTTGCATATATGTGTGTAAACAAAAATCATCCAGTCCTAGTCTGCGAGTATTGAATTAATGCTTTTGTAAATGTACTGAGTAGGTGTAGCTGCTTACTTGTGCTGTACATCCCATTGGATTCAA